CCCCCGATTCGGAAATAAAGCTGAGGTCCTTCTGATTCCAAGCCCAGGGTGCCCTGTCCATTAGACTGTACACAGACGTACTGTCATTGTCAAGCAATATCTACAAGTGACAGAAACCTGGAAAACTCCCAGTTAGAACCAGAAATCTACAAGAGAAGGATGATTATGCTTAAAAGGCTCAAACATTCAGACAAGCCATAATGTGTTGTTAGTTGTTTAGCAAATCACAGTGCAAGACACCAATGAAAATACAACACAGAGGAGGAGAAAAACATACTCCCTGCCTAGAAAGAGAATATTAGAATGGGGATATTTTCTTCTGCATAGCTATATATAAAACTACAAATATGTTACAACCAAACAGTGAAGATAATGGCTCTCTTACACTAAGCCAATTTCATTTTTGCCAGCATAGCAGATTATCGACATCAGTCTGCAATTATATTTCAACTCTTAGTTAGATTTAGTGCTGCTGCGTGTTACTGTCAGCCATTTAAAACTGTACTTCCACTAATACAAGCTGTAGCATTATCATTGATAGTTACAATAACTAATAAAAACCTATACACATTTGCTGTTCTATAACACCCTTTAATAAGCATTGTAGAGGAACACTGGTGACTATTACTAGTAACTGGTATTTGTAAGATGAACATCAGCTCGTTCATAATTTAGAATGTGAAAACTGGTCAATCATAGCCAAATAGAGCTGAATGAATGCCCTAATGAACGAATGAATGCCCTGAACTATATTCTACAGATCACTAGTGTCTGTCCAGAGCTGTCTGATGCAGTAATTTTTGCTCTCCTTGTTGGCAGCTCCAAAATTGCATCAGAAATGGAAATATACTCCGTATTTTTTCATTTTAACTTTCCATGCTTACAACTCTGCTGCCACAGTGATATGGGTCACAACTAAAAAAAGGAAGTCTGCACAATTGTGAATGGCAGCAGATATGTCCATGAGATAAAATACACTTAAGCTGCGGTCCACACCATGCAAAAGTTTTGAAAATGCTTGTAGAAGAAAGACAGAAATAAAATAACAGAGGCTTTGGAGATTCATAGATTTTAGGCCAAAAGGAATTAATTATGGTCATTTATCTGTATAGCAAAAGCCAGAATCACCTAGTAATTCCTACATCTAGGACTTGTTGAACTTCAGGGGAATTTTGCTACTGACTAATTTCACAGCAATGAGTTCAAGTGATTTCTCAAGTGATAAACAGATTTTGAATAATTTATCAAGTAATAAACAATCTACCATATTCCTTGATAAATTGTTCTATTGAATTATTTCCTTCACCCTTAAATCTCTGCTTTATTTCTAGTTGGAATTTGTCTAGCTTTCACTTTCTACTATTAGAAATCTTCTCTGTGGGGCATCTACATGAGATTCTGACTGTGCAGTAGCACGTCACAGCACCAACAGTGCTAATATGCTACTGTACAGTATTATTAGGCTACTGCATAGTAGTGCCACTTAAAAGATGTTCACCAGCACTACTGCACACCAACTCCAGTTACTGCACACTTATTTAGAATTTGCTTATACAAGTACTAAATAAATGAGCAGTAACCACTGCACAGTAGCATCTTGTGTAGATATGCCCTGTTTGTAGGTACTCCTCACCAAATCACCTTCCCTTTGATAAACTAAAACTGATCTTCAAGCCTCACTGTTTTCCGCTCCTGAGATCTATCTAACAGCTCTTTTCTGAATTCCTTCTAAGTTCAAAGTATTCTTATTGGCCTTTAGACCTGTCAAGTATGGTCATTAGAGATAGGGCCTCAGCATTTTGCAAAGCAGAACCACCACTCTACTCCCACTCTACGTACAGCCAAGGACTGCATTAGCTTTTGTAGCCACATCACATTAGAAGCTCATATCCGGTTGTTTATGACCCACGACCTCTATGTTTTTCTCAGAATCACAGTTTTCTAGGATACAGTCCCCCATGCTGAAAGTCTGACCTACATTCTTTGTTTCTAGGTGTGCAATCCTGCATTTGGCTTAATTAAAATGCATGATATTTGAATGAACTATGTTTAGCCAGTATCCAGATTGTTGTGTAAAAATAACCATCTTATTTATTACACTCCCAATTTTTTGTGTAACCTTCAGACTTTACTAGAAAATATTTAATATTTACTTCAAAATCATTTATAAAAGATACTAGACAGCACTGGGCCAAGGACAGATCAGTATGGAATCCTACTAGAAAAAGCGTCATTGGATGGATAATTAATTTCCTATTAATTTTTTAGATCTAGAAATTAATCATATTTAAATATATTTAATGCTTTACATTGATATTGTATATATCAATTTTTAATTAGATTGTCATGCAGTGCTAAGTCAAATACAAGGAAATAATGAATGCATAGAATATAGAACCTAAAAAGAAAATAATGAAGGGCACAGGAAAGGTAAATCAGGCACTTCAATTTACGCTCTCTCATAAAACAAAAATAAGGAGACATTTAATTAAATTTAAAAGCCACAAATATAAGAAATTATTATACTATGATGTTTAATCAACCTGCAGAACTTAGTGACACAAGATAACAATGAAGTCTGCAGCTTTGTTGAAGCCAACAAAATGATTATGACATATATATAGATAACAAGAACATCCACAGGTGACAGTACACTAATAAGGACAGCAAATACGTTCTAGACATATAAATCCTCAGAACATTTTCCTCTAAGAAAGTTATTCCATAATTGTCCTCTTCAGGGAAAGTGGCTCCAAAAGTTAAGCTTCTAAGCCAGTCCTCTGGTTTTCAAAAGTGCTGACAACCAAGTACCACTAGAATTAATGGAAGTGCTCATCACTTTGAGTTATGGGACCATTAATTTGCCCTCCCCCCCCCCCCCCCCCACTTTGGAATTTAAGAACCTAACTCTGAACACACAATTTTTAAAAAGGCCGGCACCTATATCAAGCAGACTTTGGTCTATGGCGAATTAAATGCCACCAACAACATTATAAAATAGTCTAATCATGCTGAAGTCTGGAAGCCACAAAACAGTTCGTCAGGACCATCACATCTTATTAGGCATTGGACAAAGGTTACATTGGCAGGTCACAGATTAAGAGGAAGAAAATCAATTCCTCCATTTGGAGGGATGCATTGCTAGTAGAGTGTGTTATTACACATTATGAACTGTCTCTGGAGCTGACCCCATTTCGGAGACAGAGGATGCAACCAGAAAAAAAAGAAAAATCTGAAAGAAAAACCTTTCCTGTATGAAAAGGGGAAATATCTTATTTATTTACATACACCACTCACCTTTGCTTCCAAAATTAGCGATTGAAGATTGTGTTCCAGGTCTTAAACAAGGAACAAGGTTCTGAACAGCTTGGATAAAAGGAAAAAGCATTTTTTTTCTTTATTTTGTCTTCCTCAAAAAAGGTGCATGTGGCAGAACACCAGTGGGGTGCTCACCACTTTAGGGCTATCACAGGCTCTGGGGAGCCTGTTTTGGGGAGCAGGAGGTAAAAGCCTTCCCTGCTAAACACTGTAAGGAGGAAGGTGGGTGCAGGAGCACCTTAAGTGCTCTGCCACTTTAAGACCTGGATCAGGCCCCATGCAGATGTGGCCCAGCCCTGACTGGTGGCCATTTTAAGTCCCAGGCCAGCAAGGCTGGAGGCAGTTGTTTGCGTACAGACGCCAAGGAAGCAACATCTCCCAGAAGAGCTGCTCCTCTGAGAACAGCTTGGAGGTAAGGCTCAGGGGTGATCTGATGGCCACCTATAAGTTTATCAGGGGTGACCACCAGTATCTGGGGGAATGTTTGTTCACCAGAGCGCCCCAAGGGATGATGACTAGGTCGAATGGTCATAAATTACTACAAGACCGTTTCAGGCTGGACATAAGGAAGAATTTCTTTACTGTCCGAGCCCCCAAGGCCTGGAACAGCCT